CAATTAATTCATGTCCTCAGACCTCCATAAAATATGTCAGGAACTTTCTCTCCCTATGGATACCATAAATTTAGGACTGTGCTTTTTCTCCTGTGTTCTGTTTCCTGGGTCCTTCACACTTAATGTGCTAGGCTCTTGCTTCTCTTGTCTTTTCCATCCAAGAAGAAGAAAAGTCCAGCTACCCGACAGCCAAGGAAAAAGGATAGAACAGATATGCAGGCTGCACCAGTACATCTTCACATGAAGAGAGAAGAAATTAATCTTTCCAATTTCAGAAACTAGAACATAAAAGCTGTTATATACTATTATAGAATACTGGATAGATACCAAATAAAAATTTTCCCAACAAGTTTATATTTGCAGCATAGAAAAGAAAGGAAGCTGCATAATTCAGTATTTTACAGTTTACAGAAAATGTAAAATGTTTTGACTCCCAATCAAATATTCTGGCTTTTTGCCATTTATCAAGTATTCTGCAGATATCACTTAAGACAATTTAATGACAACAAGAATGTTTACAGAAAGAAGCGATGCTGGCTTTCATTCACTGGGAAATCAACTTTGCCAGTGAAAAACGATTTAAGTGTATACAAAAGATTTTACATGAATATAAATATTATATTGTACTGATGCAAGTATGCTTTAGTTTATAATATCTATTTAACATCAATATGTTATGTTGTAAAATAAATGTTAATGTACCTTGAAAAGTAAAGCCCTGTGGTAGAATGTCCCTTTTTTGACTTTCCCGATAGGCACAACATTGCATTTCAGTTCAAATTCTATTTCGCTTATGTGAAGTTCCCAGCTGAAGTCATGTAGTTTGTTTCTTTCAATCGGGCCACCCATCTTGTCTGCAACAAACCTGTTCCAGTGTATACCAGAATCAGCTGCATCTGTAATTCCTCTCATATTTACCACAGAAATGTAGCAAATTAAATGTATACAAGCAATAACTGAATGACATATAAGAGTTTAGTACTTTGGCTATGCTTGCTGTGTTAATTCAGTAACTTGTATTTTATATATGCTAACTGTTAAATGCAAATAACCATAACTCAGGTTGTTCTCATTTGTCACAGACCTAAACCAAGGTGCAACTGCTGTAAGCAGATTCTGGAGAGCTTTGGTATAGGCACAGGGTCCTCAGAGAAAAGCACCAGTAACCGTGTCATTACCAAGGACGTAGCTCAGAAGCTAGTGTTCACCTTTACAGTAACAGATTATGTGAGCTACATATTACAATCTGCAGCCCTACCATTTGTTTGAAGTAGTCATTAAGGCATGTGAATATACAGGGTAAAATTTAAGCCACAAGTAATGATCCCAACATAGGAAAGCAACTATATCCATAAAGGATACTTCAGCTTCTGTGTGTGCTGTCTTGTATTGAAGCCAGTATTTGGGTGGTGAGAGGTGTGTATTTATGCATGAAAAAGAATTGGCTTAGTCACAGAAACTGAAGGTCAGAACTCACAATCTCTGCAGACACTGCCAAAAGGATGACTTTTGGGTGACTGTGCACACATAGGACCAGGCCCCATCTATAAGTCTGTAAGACACCTTCACCTTTTCTATGCATGGTCCCTGTATGTGAAGACCTTTGTTCCTCTCAAGAGTCCTCAGCCAGAGCTACAAGTGTTGTTGAGGGCCCTCACTCTGGACAAGGCGATGCAGAGTTGTTGTGGGTTTAAATCACAAGCCACTAATTCAGACAGTGAACTAAGATCTGCATTACCTTTGCAGTAACTGTGTAGGTTCTATCCACGTAGTATGTGCAAGACAACCCTGGAGGCCTTATTTCTCAAACCCTGGGGCCTGAGGTGGTACTGGTTGCAACAGCATGGGCACAGGGAATTATCACTGAGCTGGCTAGACATGGTATCTTGAAGTTGGGAATTACTGGGTGAATGTGAAGAAGTGGGGGCTCCAGGCGGTTGCTTGTGCTGCTTGTGCCTACAGCCAACCCTCAGTAAAGAGAGCAAAGCTTCCTGATCCTACAGGCACACTGCTCCCACGTATGCACAAAGATGTGCTCTGTCTGTTTAAAAGGAGACAGCCAGCACTACTGCATGTTCCTTCATCTACCGCGGCTCCCTCCCTGGTGAGCACAGCAGGAACCCTGCTCAAGCTGCCAGGCTGCCGAGGGCTGCTGCAGCTGCCTCCTCCTCCCGTTCCTATTCAACACACGCTATTCAGGCAGCCGCTTAAAATGGAACATGCACATAAAAATCCCCACAGAAAACATTCTACTTAAATTTCCCATGATTGTTTTGCTGGGTTGTGTGTCTGCAAGAATTTCATTGGTGTGTTTGAAGAGCAGATCTGAAAGAGCATTTTATGGATTCCACCTTGAGGATGGCAGCGTGATTTATACACAGCTGGATAGTAAAGGATGAATATCTGTCCTGTCACATTTTGCAACCAACAGAAAAGTCATGCCTCCTATCAGATTAGACCACTTCATTAAAAATGAGAGTTAGTAGAAGAAACAGATTTTGTGAGACTCAGTGGGATCTGATGCCAAACTCTCCAGATTCAGGAGGTAGCCAGGAAACTGCTAAGATAGTAAAGGTTAAACTAGAGAAGGGAGAAGGTGAAAGCAGACACACTGCTTGGAGATGACAGTGATTGGTGCTAAGGCCAAGTAGTCAGTGTAACTAATGAATCACACATTGATAACAACAGTCTGTACATGCACCATTGCAATATTTGGGCACTATTAAATCATCAGGATATTAATTATAGCAGTACCTAAAAACTACATTAGAAAAATGCCTCGTGCTTTTGGCTTATAGGAAAACAAAATATGAGACAGATCCTGTCCTGAGGGGCTTTCAAACCAAGTAGGCAAAAAAGATCATAAAAGAAGGAACAGACATGATACATGCAAGTTACAACAGTCTCAACTATTAAGTTAGGAGTTTAGGTTGTGGATTTAGTCACTGCAGCTCCTAGGTCTCTCTGGCTCCTTAATGATATCATATGCAGCGGAGGTGTTCATTGGAAAGGATCAATACAGATACATAAATGGGGGGGGGGAAGGAAATGGAAATTTTCATATGAATATTTTCAAAATGGGAAATTTATACCCTTTTGTGGCAAGTGATTTTTTCTTCAAAACAAACCCAATTCAACTAATTACAACAAAATTAGGAACAAGAAGCTTAAAATCTAAAATTATGTTAGAATTATAGACCAGACCTGATTTGGATTCCAGTTAGGATGGGAAAAATAACAAACTTGGAAAAGTTGTCATCAGATGAGAGAACAGTTATTTTACCAATTGAACTTATTTCTATTATTTATGGAAATGTGATTTGATACTCACTGTGCAAGAGCCACAACCTGTTCCTTTGTAGTAGTTAGTGGTAAAATTGTTTTGGAAGCATCATTAATGTAATCCAGTAAAATGAGGTCAGGCGGTGGTAGCCACTGTGTATTTTGTAGATTTATTTCATCCTGGACTGCAGATAGAAACTGAATAACTTCTTTTGATTTTTCCTCTTCTTTTTTCCCCTTCACTTTTCTGACATAGAAAACAATGTACAGTTATTTAGAATGCTGTAATCTCAAAAGTCCAAATTCAAATACAGCAGTTCTCCAACAGAACATTTTAGACAAATAGACTGCAGGGGGAGTTAGGAAAAATCTTTCCGCTTGATAAGGAATACTCTAGAATGTACAAAGTTGTAGAGAACACTTGTGGAACATGCCCTCAGGAGATACTTATGAACCAAGTGTCACTATCATCATAATAATATTGCTGTAAATTCTCATTTTATTTTTGTCTATAACTCTGATATGCCTTTCACATATATCTAGAGGAGAAGAGACACACATCCATATAAGAAACACTTTTAGACAATTGCAGTTTGGTTCCATATGGACACGAACTAGAAATCATGGATTCCAGTGAGGTTTTAGTTGATAGAAATTGGATTTCAAATAAAGGAACAAGTATTATCAAAAGAATGGCCAAAATTTTTGACAGGACATACCAGGCAGCAGTGTCTGTAGTTGTAAGTCCATGTACTTCAATCATTAGACAAACTACAACACTACTGGTCAGATGAAGATTTTATAAGAAGTCTGTGGTTTTGCTCTCTCTTTTTTCACTGCATATGCCACATACATCAGTAATGCTCAGGACTGGAAAAATGATTGTGATCCTGAACAGGCATCATAAGCACCTAGCAGAAGTATAAATGAAATGCTTCTTCTGCTTAGACTGAATACTGTGCATTTCACAAGTTATGTAGCAACTACAAAACCAGGATCTTAACAGATATCATTAAGATCTATACAATCAGTTTAGGTTATTTCATTTGTGGGAACATGTGGAACTTGTGTTTCATAAGCATTATATCTTTTTTCAGCATGGGTGTTTAATAATCCTACTGTGAAACATGATAGAATTTCTTTCCTTTATTTAACAATTCTAGTTTATTTGCTGAAATCCATAATACTGCTGGCATTCTTGGAAGGAAAAAAGGGGGGGAAAAAAAAGGATAGATCACTAGAGTACATGGCTCCAGGGCACACTATCATTATCTGTGCTCTTCAAATTATTCTTGAGATTTTGACAATGAACAGCTCTCTTAAGAAGGAAGGCAATGGACAAAGCAGAAGGGCATACACCATTATCAGGTGTCTAATTCAAGCCATTTGTCTTCAGAATACTTTGCAAACTTTTCTTTTACCTACTGAGATTTACCGTATTCACAAAAAGGCCTTTTCAGAGGTTTCCTAAAGCACATTATTTTAGCAGGATAACCAATTAAGATTTAATCTTAAAATTATAGAAAATTCACCACCCTGTTAAGTAAACTGTTCTGGTTATTAATTGCACCTATACTTGAAAAAAGCAGACAAACAGTTTTCTTTGTCTAATTTGACTCTTATCTAGATATAGCTAGGGGACCTTATAATGGTGGATTAAACAGCTACCTATTTCTCCATTTATGCACTTAGACATAATGTTTAAGAATAATTTATTTAAAGAAAACAGTTTCCTATTCCTATCTGCTCAGATGACTCTTGAATTACTGTTACTCTCCTTCTTTCCAGTTTTCAGGAAGAAAACACCTGAGAGGGATGGGTTTGCACAGTGATTTGTTTGGGTTTTTTGCTGCTGCCTATTTCTCTCGGGTATGACTATGGTTCCTTGGTGGAATGCTGCTTTAAGGTTGTCTTCCGCACCTGTCTCTACCTTACTCCTCAGCTCTTCAGTTCATCATGTCTAATATTTACCTCCTAAGGAACTGTGGAGGTGCTGTCTCACAGCACAGTGACATAAATAACCAGTAACCATTACACTAGACTTCTACTATCTTTTTTCTGTCCTCTTTTATTATTCCCATTTTATTTACCAGTGGGAATTATGACATCTGAAAAAAAATAATAAATCACTCCTCTTTCTCAAAGCTGTCTTACTACTCATGACACATAATTGCCATGAAAGTAGAAGCATATGCAAAGAAGAACTCATGGCAGTAAACAGTGTCCAAGATGTTTCTGATTTCTGCTGCAAAAACCTCCAGCTGGTCACCAGAGAATCAGTGTGAGGAAGAAGGCAGCCAATAAAATATGCTACCACTAAAAGAAAGCCATGACACCTATTTTCTTTCCTTTTTCACATAGCTTAATCCTTTGGCATGCTGGAGGGAAGGAATACCATCCAGAGGGATCTTGACACGCTTGTGAGGTGGGCTGATGCCAACCTCATGAAGTTTAACCATGACAAGTGCAGGGTCCTACACATGGGTCGGAGCAATCCCAGACACAGCTACAGGTTGGGCAAAAAAGAGATTCAGAGCAGCCCTGCAGAGAAGGACCTGGGGGTGCTGGTTGATGAGAAAATGGACATGAGCTGGCTTCAGTGTGCACTGTCAGCCCAGAAAGCCAACTGTATCCTGGGCTGCATCAAAAGGAGCATGAGCAGCATGTCGAAGGAGGTGATCCTGCCCCTCTACTCTGCTCTCATGAGACCTCACTTGGAGTATTGTGTGCAGTTCTGGTGTCCTCAACATAAAAAGGACATGGAACTGTTGAAACAAGTCCAGAGGATGATCAGGGGACTGGAGCACCTCCCGTATGAAGATCGGCTGAGAAATTTGGGGCTGTTCAGCCTGGAGAAGAGAAGGCTGCGTGGAGACCTCATAGCAGCCTTCCAGTATCTGAAGGGGGCCTATAGGGATGCTGGGGAGGGACTCTTCATCAGGGACTGTAGTGGTAGGACAAGGGGTAATGGGTTAAAACTTAAACAGGGGAAGTTTAGATTGGATATAAGGAGGAAATTCTTTCCTGTTAGGGTGGTGAGGCACTGGAATAGGTTGTCCAGGGAGGTTGTGAATGCTCCATCCCTGGCAGTGTTCAAGGCCAGGTTGGACGAGGCCCTGGGTAATATGGTTTAGAGCGAGGTGTCCCTGCCCATGGCAGGGGGGTTGGAACTTGATGATCTTAAGGTCCTTTCCAACTCTAACTATTCTATGATTCTATGATTCTGTGACACTGGAAAGCACCACCTTAAATGCTGTACTGGAACACAGCATAGAATAAATGTAAATTTGTCAGTCTACATTAAACATCATATTTTAGCCCAGTGAATGTGTATATCAGATATGCAACCGTTTGATTAAAAAGGTTGCTATCTGTCCATGAAAATATATGTCAACTTATCTACTATGCACTTCCTCTACATCTAATTCAAACACTTCCAGCAGACAATTACAACTGCCCTTTCTTTTAGCTTTCAAGTGTGGTTTATATAAAGTAGATTTGCTTTTTCAAAACAATATCTTGAAGCTGTGTTCAGTAGTACTTTGCAAAATACTGATGAACAGAAACATATGATCAAAGGAAAAAAATATGTTGGAAAAGGTCTAAGCATGTTTGAGACTTGGAATCAGCTACTGACCTTCAAGTAACTCCCATATATCTCACAAATTAATAATAATAATGATGTATGAATTATGGATTCAAAATGAATGACAATGGGGTTATAAATCATACAACTTGATCATGACATTCAAAAGCAATTATTTCATACTTGGAGAAAGAAGTCTTTGTATCCCTGCAAGTTTGCTATGGAAAATCGAGACAGGTAAAGAATTTTTTTTGCTTTCCGAAAGAGTTATTGTTGCTAACCCAGCAGTCATTTACTGTGTAATTGACACAAAATAGATTAAAAAGCAATTATCCAAGGGTATCGTCATCTCACATTGTAATAAACAAACATCTTGTCAGAACAGATCTCTAAGCTTTGTGCAGCTGCTTGAGACTATGCAAAATGGTCCATGACTCTAGAGCATCTTCTGAGATGAAGGAATCCCCCACAGTTGCAGGGCACCAGGGGCTCAATATCTCCCATTGCCTTCTGCTCCTTTTGAGTAAACTGACATTGCATAGTGGGTCATAACGAGAGCATGGTGGGCTTCAGGAGGACCTGCTAAATGAGCAGAAGCTAGAACATGCCTGCTAAGACACTCAAGATACTCTTGCATCCTGAAATGGGAACCTCCCACAATGCAACTGACATGATCCATTTCAGTTACCTACTATGAAATTATTTAAACTGAATTCCAGAAGTGTTTGCAGTCCAAATAACTAGTCAAATGTAAATATCTGCCTTGTAAATCAATAGATAGATCCACAAGTCAAATGGATAGACTTACCTCACAGTTCGGGTCCTGATTTAAGTCAGAACCTCAACCCTTCACAGTCAGTAGCTATTATCTGTCAACAATTTGCATGTCAGTTCTAAACAAGCTGATAAGTGATATAATTCAAAGAATAATACATCAAGCCTTTTTCTCTAGTGCTGGTTTTGCTGAGTGAACACCATTGTCCAGATAATTCTTTCTTTTCCTCCACTGGAGATACCATTGAACTACTGAGATCACAAAGCAAGTCTGAATTTTCTCTTGACTTTCCTACTGCAGATTTCGTGTCTCCAGCACAGATACATACATACATACACAGAAATATAGAAGCAGTCTGAGAAATCAATGATATCAATAAAATGCCTGTACAAACATATCACAGTTCATGGGTGAGCTCCAAGCTAAACACTGCAAATGTAGCACTTCAGTTCCCACAACAGGCATGCCATCTCTCCTGTGGGCTTCTTTTTTATGATCCTGTAGCACACAGGATTTTGTAATGCCCACCACTGACATCACATTCACAGCCCTGAAGCAGAGCCAAGGCTCCCTATACCACAAATGAAGAAAAATTAGGAAGACAGGACTGAGACCCACAGAAACTAGCATGATAAATGGTCAGCTCATTAAATTAGCTAACAGAAAAACCAAGGAGAGTTGTAGGTTATATCACATTCCTATCAAGGACCTAGATATCACCCCATCAATGTCAAGGAAGCTCTATCTGGACCAGTTTGGAAATCCTGAAAATTTCTCTGGAATTAGGCATTTACACCTGCGGTTTCTGAAAGACACTGTTGTGGTCATGATTGTGCTGCTGTTTTATATAAAGCACAGCTGAGGGATCATGGTTCAATTTTCTTTAGCAGGAACAAACTAAGGGTTAAGTACCTTATATTAAAAGTCATCAAGACAATGAGTAGTCATTGGTCTCTACTCTCTCAGTTAAGTACTGTAACAGCTGAAGTAGAAAGCTCTGTTCATTCCACCTCATTGTTAGTGAATGGCTACAACAAACCAGAAAGAGACTGCTAAACCCCAAACATCCTGTGGTCAGCTACCTCTAGGTGGGAAGGACAGGATCAAACCCTCTTTCTGTAAAGGAAAGAAATTAATTTCCTACCACAAGGCTAGAGGCTCTGACCTATTTGTTATGAGCAGATATGCCTACCAGATCAGTTCTACAGATCGGACTGCAGGACTGTACCTAGTGTATTGTATGGGTCAGTGGGAGCCCTGCAAAAGCGAGGCAGTTTTAGGCTTGTTGCTGTCAAAACAGACACAGTCCTGAGAACACCCTTCTCAGCTTTTAGTCATGTATAAAATTTCACTGGAAGAAATCTAATCTAGAAATAAAGATGCATGTAGGCAGTGTAGGAACTTTTTGGGTGTCTACATTCTAAATTGAGAAGGAACTTCTACCCTAGTTTCCCTGTGTCTTGGTTGTTAAGCTGTAAAATAACATAATTTCACTGCCTCTAAGGGATATTGAAAGGAAAACCAGCCAAATAAACAGGAGATGTTCTAAGAAAGCCTGGGGAGGGAGGACAAATCATTACTAAGATAGAAAAGGAAGACTACAGCAATTAGGAGGTGAAAGAAAGACTCCAAAAACATATATAACATTGTATTTGAGCATTTGTACTCCATTTGAAAACTGTCTATCACTATTTTCAATCAGAATTTTATTTCTAATGTTAGAGCAATAACAGAATATTGAAAAGTAGTAAATTTTAAAACCATACCTTGTTTTCTCTCTACTGCTTTTTCTTGAAATAGAAGGTGACAAGATAGTTTGTTCATGAGATGAATCGTGTGCCTTCTCCTCTCCTGGAAGACTGAAATGGAACAAGACATTTTTGCATGTCAATTAGTGTTTGCATATTAAGCTGTGAAAATGAAGTTCTGATTTTAAAGGCCACTAAATATATTCATAGGAAGATATAAGTGGAAGACATAACATAACCAGTAATAAACCAGATACTGATTCAGGAATCAAAAATGAATTACCAAATACCAAATGGTGGACACAAAAGTAACTGGAAAGTAAGACTGCTGCCAAAGGCAAGAAGCTGTGTCAAAGTCAAAGAAACAAAACCTGATAGTTGAAGACAACTCTAGGGATCAACAAAGAGCATGAAAGTTTGTTATAGATATTCTCAGACATCTTTATGGTGTCATATACAAGCTTAAAAGGGAAGCTAATGATACTGTTAACCAAATATGTGATGTGTTGACAGAGAAGAAGGTTTTGGACTTGCAAAATATTGGTAGAGCATTCTTTGATCTGTGAGACTGTTTACAGGAAGTGACTCCCAGTTAAACAAGCCAAATACCAACTTACTGCATTGGAATCTAGGAAGATTTGTTAGGCTGGCTTCAACTTAAACAGAGAAGGAACAGGCACAGGTTCTGTATCAAGTATGAAGGCACGATGCCTGGCTTTTTCCTGCTGCTTGGGATGTTGTGCTTAAAATTCCATGCATT